TCGCTGAGGGCTTATCAAATCCACAATGTCCTAACTTGTATACATATCTTGGCCTTATTCACTTCCATCGATTGTTCTTGACTTCCTATTCAAGCAACACATCTCTATAGCCAATCTATAGGCTCTCCCCCCTTTTGCGCTGTTTACCAGTGCAACAATTTATAATGATTAGCCAGACCCCCAGTTCTCAGCAATAACGCAACACTACCCACACATTGGTCCTAACGGTACATCTCTCCAGTGCACACTCAAATAGCATCCAAACTAACAAACTCCCAAAGCGGTGAGAAAAAAAAACTCACCCTTATCTGGCCATGACTTCAGAACGAGTTAGCTTGGCGGCTTAATGGAACAAAGAAGAGATGCAGTCCCTCCCTTTTCGTGACGCCATTTGCAGTATCGAGTCAATGCTGGCAATTATTGCTGATAAACAAAGGAGTCCGCTCATACTGAACCTTGATCATAAGTTTTATTCATATCACAAGCTTTCAGCATAAGTTTTATAGGTGTCATGCCCACCCGGAGAGCGACGTCCCAGATTGCAATGGCCGCTCTAACCTCTTCGTCGTTTTTACCCAGTATATATAATCTTCCCAAGATAGGGGTGGCTCCCTCTACTGTCCAATCCCCTGTCTACAACACACAGACTTCTCTGTCCTATCCGGGGTGTCACACTAAAACCATTCCCTCTGACACTAAAATAAACATCCTCTCCGGTTCCACTTAAAAACATTAACAACGTCATAATCTTAATACACTACAAACATTCATGTGTTGTCACGACTTCCGCCGAGGCTGCCTCCCCTCCTTGTTCGGGAAGGCTTCGGCGTTCGTCGTCACCGTCTTACTAACCACTGCCGCCCCAATCATCATCACATTTGTCTTGTCAATCACACACACCTGGTTCTAATCCCCTCATTAGTCCATGTATAAGTGTTCCCTATGCCCCCTTGTACTTGTGGGTGATTGTTTGTATGTGAGAGTAGTATAGCTCGGTGGAGCTACTCATACATTTTGTTGCCAGGGTAGATATTTCCCCTGTGGCTATGTATTGTACGGAGAAACCGTTACAGTGTATTGCCAGGGTAGATAGTTTCCCCTGTGCCTGTTTCGTTTGTCGCTATTCCAGCGTATTTTGTGTAACGAAGGAATAAACTCTGTATTCGGTGATTACCCTTCTGCGCCTGACTCCTCCCATCACACGCATCACATGTGTTCAGTTTTCTGAGGGTTAGGAGAATATTTAATCAACGTCACGCCAAATGCACAAAGAACATGGTTGCCATGTTCTCAAAATATAATATATTAATGTTCTAGACAAGTTTCATGGGACGTTGCAAGAACATTCAAATCAAATCAAATCAAATCAAATTGTATTGGTCACATGCGCCGAATACAACAGGTGCAGACATTACAGTGAAATGCTTACTTACAGCCCTTAACCAACAGTGCATTTATTTTTTTAAATAAAACAACAACAAAAAAAGTGTTGAGAAAAAAAAGAGCAGAAGTAAAATAAAGTAACAGCAGGGAGGCTATTTATACAGGGGGGTACCGTTGCAGAGTCAATGTGCGGGGGCACCGGCTAGTTGAGGTAGTTGAGGTAATATGTACATGTGGGTAGAGTTAAAGTGACTATGCATAAATAATTAACAGAGTAGCAGCAGCGTAAAAAAGATGGGGTGGGGGGGGCAGTGCAAATAGTCCGGGTAGCCATGATTAGCTGTTCAGGAGTCTTATGGCTTGGGGGTAGAAGCTGTTGAGAAGTCTTTTGGACCTAGACTTGGCACTCCGGTACCGCTTGCCGTGCGGTAGCAGAGAGAACAGTCTATGACTAGGGTGGCTGGAGTCTTTGACAATTTTGAGGGCCTTCCTCTGACACCGCATGGTATAGAGGTCCTGGATGGCAGGAAGCTTGGCCCCAGTGATGTACTGGGCCGTACGCACTACCCTCTGTAGTGCCTTGCGGTCGGAGGCCAAGCAGTTGCCATACCAGGCGGTGATGCAACCAGTCAGGATGCTCTCGATGGTGCAGCTGTAGAATTTTTTGAGGATCTGAGGACCCATGCCAAATCTTTTCAGTTTCCTGAGGGGGAATAGGCTTTGTCGTGCCCTCTTCACGACTGTCTTGGTGTGTTTGGACCATGATAGTTCGTTGGTGATGTGGACACCAAGGAACTTGAAGCTCTCAACCTGTTCCACTACAGCCCCGTCGATGAGAATGGGGGCGTGCTCAGTCCTCTTTTCTTTCCTGTAGTCCACAATCATCTCCTTTGTCTTGGTCACGTTGAGGGAGAGGTTGTTGTCCTGGCACCACACGGCCAGGTCTCTGACCTCCTCCCTATAGGCTGTCTCATCGTTGTCGGTGATCAGGCCTACCACTGTTGTGTCGTCGGCAAACTTAATGATGGTGCAGTCATGCAGTCATGGGTGAACAGAGAGTACAGGAGGGGACTGAGCACGCACCCCTGAGGGGCCCCGTGTTGAGGATCAGTGTGGCAGATGTGTTGTTACCTACCCTTACCACCTGGGGGCGGCCCGTCAGGAAGTCCAGGATCCAGTTGCAGAGGGAGGTGTTTAGTCCCAGGATCCTTAGCTTAGTGATGAGCTTAGAGGGCACTATGGTGTTGAATGCTGAGCTGTAGTCAATGAATAGCATTCTCACGTAGGTGTTCCTCTTGTCCAGGTGGGAAAGGGCAGTGTGGAGTGCAATAGAGATTGCATCATCTGTGGATCTGTTGGGGCGGTATGCAAATTGGAGTGGGTCTAGGGTTTCTGGGATAATGCTGTTGATGTGAGCCATGACCAGCCTTTCAAAGCACTTCATGGTTACAGACGTCAGTGCTACGGGTCGGTAGTCATTTAGGCAGGTTATCTTAGAGTCCTTGGGCACGGGGACTATGGTGGTGTGCTTGAAACATGTTGGTATTACAGACTCAGTCAGGGACATGTTGAAAATGTCAGTGAAGACACTTGCCAGTTGGTCAGCACATGCTCGGAGTACACGTCCTGGTAATCCATCTGGCCCTGCGGCCTTGTGAATGTTGACCTGCTTAAAAGTCTTACTCACATCAGCTACGGAGAGCGTGATCACATAGTCATCCGGAACAGCTGGTGCTCTCATGCATGCTTCAGTGTTGCTTGCCTCGAAGCGAGCATAGAAGTGGTTTAGCTCGTCTGGTAGGCTTGTGTCACTGGGCAGCTCGCGGCTGTGCTTCCCTTTGTAGTCTGTAATAGTTTTCAAGCCCTGCCACATCCGACGAGCGTCAGAGCCAGTGTAGTACGATTCAATCTTAGTCCTGTATTGACTCTTTGCCTGTTTGATGGTTCGTCGGAGGTCATAGCGGGATTTCTTATAAGCGTCCGGGTTAGAGTCCCGTTCCTTGAAAGCGGCAGCTCTACCCTTTAGCTCAGTGCGGATGTTTCCTGTAATCCATGGCTTCTGGTTGGGGTATGTACGTACGGTCACTGTGGGGACGACATCATCGATGCACTTATTGATGAAGCCAGTGACTGATGTGGTGTACTCCTCAATGCTGTCTGAATAATCCCGGAGCATGTTCCAGTCTGTGCTAGCAAAACAGTCCTGTAGCTTAGAATCTGCGTCATCTGACCACTTTTTTATTAACCGAGTCACTGGTGCTTCCTGCTTTAGTTTTTGCTTATAAGCAGGAATCAGGAGGATAGAGCTATGGTCAGATTTGCCAAATGGAGGGCGAGGGAGAGCTTTGTATGCGTCTCTGTGTGTGGAGTAAAGGTGGTCTAGAGTTTTTTTTCCTCTGGTTGCACATTTAACATGCTGGTAGAAATTAGGTAGAACGGATTTAAGTTTCCCTGCATTAAAGTCCCCGGCCACTAGGAGCGCTGCATCTGGATGAGCGTTTTCCTGTTGATTTATGGCCTTGTACAACTCATTCAGTGCAATCTTAATGCCAGCATTGGTTTGTGGTGGTAAATAGACAGCTATGAAAAATATAGATGAAAACTCTCTTGGTAAATAGTGTGGTCTACAGCTTATCATAAGATACTCTACCTCAGGCGAGCAAAACCTCGAGACTTCCTTAGTATTTGATTTTGTGCACCAGCTGTTGTTTACAAATATACACAGACCGCCACCCCTTGTCTTACCGGAGTCAGCCGTTCTATCCTGCCGATGTAGCGTATAGCCCGCTAGCTGTATGATATCCATGTCGTCGTTCAGCCACGACTCGGTGAAACATAAGATATTACAGTTTTTAATGTCCCGTTGGTAGGATAACCGTAATCTTAGGTCATCCAATTTATTTTCAAATGATTGAACGTTGGCTAATAGGATTGATGGAAGAGGCAGTTTACTCGCTCGCCGTCGGATCCTTACAAGGCACCCCGATCTACGTCCACGATATCTCCGTCTCTTCCTCACGCGAATGACAGGGATTTGGGCCTTGTCGGGTGTCTGTATGATATCCTTCGCGGCCTCCTCGTTGAAGAAAAAATCTTCGTCCAATACGAGGTGAGTAATCGCTGTCCTGATATCCAGAAGCTCTTTTTGGTTATAAGAGACGATGGCAGAAACATTATGTACAAAATAAATTACAAATAACGCGGAAAAACACACATAATAGTACAATTGGTTAGAGGGCTGTAAAACGGCAGCCATCTTCTCCGGCGCCATTAGCTGAGTCCAATGGTGTTTAAAACATAGGAAGTTCTGTCAGGGAGGTTACCCTGGAGGTTTTTGTCTAGACCCCAGCTTGTTCCAGTGGACATCCCTAAATAAGTTTTTAGGACGTCGCCTGATGGTCCCAAAGAAACATTCAACGGAAAGTGTGTGTCTTTACACACCACCCCTTGTTATTGGTGCCGAGCCCATCAAGGCCCTGATTGGTGAACCACTCAGACGTGTTTGTCTGCTCACACAGGTGAGGGTCGGGATATCGTAGTACAGTAGTAATATTCCCCAGAAACATGCCTGGTGCATCAGTCTAAAGTGTCCCCCTCTGTGTTTCCCTCTCTCAGGATGGAAAGGAACCCAGATGGGCGTTGCCATGGCTACAGTAAACACCATGGTGACAGGGTTCGGCAGCAGCATGTGGGATGTCACCGTGGTGATCGGGCCGTCGGTGGGGGCCTGTTGCTTTACGCTGGAGAGAGAGCAGCCTGCAGAGTTCTACTCTATCCACCCTGACTGTGTTCCTGGCATGGCCAAGACCAGGCCTCATGTCAACCTACGACTAGCCACCAGGTAAGTGTGGCCAACTGTGCAAAGTATAGACAAAGACTTACCATTGTCTTTCTGTGACGTATTGTCCTTTAATCACTGACAAAAAGCATTGACTCCCAGTTTTTAAAATAAAACCACAGGGTTAATAATGAGGTCACTGTGAGGTCAAACTATGATGTGGTTTTTATGATAGGTGCTGCTAGGCTGGAGAGTCCCCTGATTGATTTCCTACAGGCTGTCGCCTGGTTACCGCTCTCCATGATTCATTACCATAGCATGAGTTACCCCCTAGCCACTCATCTAATTGAATACACAAAGGTCATGACCTGGGAGCGATCCCTGTGATTGGATACTGGTTGTGTGGGGTGATACTGTTAGAGTGAAATTATCATTACTCCCATCAGGTCAATTGATTGCCAATCTAACCAGCAGAAGGATGGAGAGTTAAACTAAAGGGGCAGCATTTCTTCGGAACACATATTTCACCCTCGGGGCGTGCTGCTGACCATTGAATACAGAAAGTAGAATAATCTTCACATTATTTAGGTCAGGGTCTCCTTTCCTGTCCCCCGTGTTTTTAAACCTCCATGTTCTCCATTCCAGAATACTTCTCCAGAGGGGCGGGGTCTTACCTGAGAGTATCCATGACGACACGGTGAATGACAGGCCGAGCGTGACCCTATGCACATCCTGTCACCCTGAGGCCTTCTTCTCCCACGTCAGGGACGTGCTTAACTTTGGAACGCAGGTGGGCTTCCTGTGGATGGACAAACCGGAACTACTGACTGTTGTGAACACTGAGTAAATGTATATTAGATCTTTATTAAATATACATTCAGCCATATCTGTCTGTTGCACCCAACACAAAAAGGGTATATTCCAGAATACAATGAATATTCACTTCATATTCATACACTTCATGTTCCCGTCATCGTGGAATACGGTAGCAGTAACTCTCAAAGGGTGGCGATAATGCTTTGCTTGTTTATCTTTGTCTCAATCTCTATATTTTAAAGATCTCAGGAATCACGTCATTATGAATAGCCTACGTGGCGTGCACATAAATGAAAACCCAATATAGAACGTTTGATTCAAAGAAACTGAATAGCAAGGCATATAAAGTCACTAGTTCATATCTTGTATCATTTTAGTGTGTGTTTTATGACGCAATGCTCTGTTAAAGCTACTGTTAAACACGTCTTAACTGCATTGTGTAAAATCCACACCAGCTACTTTAATTAAACCTGACTAATTAAGACCAACTGCTGGGCTTAATCTGTCCTAACATAATAACCACACAGAGAGAGAGGGGGGAGAGAGAGGTGGAGGGAGGGAGAAAGAAAGAGTGAGTGAGAGGAGAGAGAGAGCGAGAGAGTGGATGTACTACAGTGTCTACTATAGGTTGCGTTGTTGAAGACAATGGGCACTAGGGGGCAGTGTTAGCTGTGTTATAAGTCCACTGGGTGTGTTTTGCTGGGAGAATGAGACACTGGGAGAGAGAACGTTTTTGTAATGTCCAGTTCTATGTGTGTTGGCAAAAACCTCTTCCATCATTGTTCCAGTCCCGAAAAAACAAAAGGTGTCCTGCCTGAACGACTACAGACCTGTAGCGCTCACCTCGGTCCCATCTCAAAACCATCACTGATGCCTCCCTCCACCCACTGCAGTTTGCCTACAGAGCTAACAGGTCTGTGGACGACACTGTCAACATGGGCCTACACTACATCCTAAAACACTTAGATAACCCAAAGGAGAGTTTGTGGACTTTAGCTCTGCGTTCAATACCATCATCCCAGAATTTCTACAAGACAAACTCTCCCAGCTGAACGTGTCCAGCTCCATCAGTCAGCGGATCGCTGACTTCCTGACCAACAGGACGCAACACGTGAAGCTTTATCACTCTACACCAATGACTGCACCTCCAACAACGCATCTGTCAAACTACTCAAGTTTGCAGATGACACCACTCTGGTCAGTCTCATCACCGACGGCAATGAGTCCATGTACCAGGATATTGCGACTGCACTAGGCCACTCCACTGGCCTAGTGCAGTCGCAATAACCTGGACCTCAACACAGGCAAAACCGTGGAAACAGTGATTGACTTCAGAAAACGCCCCACCATCTCTCCCAAGTTTCTTCCCCCGGCTGTGGCCCTCACCAACCGGCCATCTGGCCCATAGAGACTAAAGGACTATGCACTCTATGCTGCACACTGCATCAAGCCATCTCTGAACTGTGCACAAAGTAACTGCACTATACTGCATTGCACTCTGTCCATCTCTCTGCATATAGATATATTGATACTGTAAATGTGTACATCCACTGTATATCAACCGTATGTATACCCACTGTACATGTGTACATCCACTGTATATCAACCGTATACCCACTGTACATGTGTACATCCACTGTATATCAACTGTATACCCACTGTACATGTGTACATCCACTGTATATCAACCGTATACCCACTGTCCATGTGTACATCCACTGTATATCAACCGTATACCCACTGTAAATGTGTACATCCACTGTATATCAACCGTATACCCACTGTCCATGTGTACATCCACTGTATATCAACCGTATACCCTACTGTACATGTGTACATCCACTGTATACGAACCGTATACCCACTGTACATGTGTATATCTGCTCATTCTCTTACACTGTAGCTCTATGCTCACTCTACCTAGTTGTGTCAACTTTGTTTAAACTCTGTTGTCTGTATTCTATCTTTAAATGTTGTTTATCACTAGCAGTACCATATCACCAAGTAAAGTTCAGAGTATATGTAAATTAATAAAGGTGATTCTGATTCTAATAACCTATTTAGCATGTTTTTGTGATAGTTAGGAGAGCATTCCCTTAATGTCAAACAGAATTTACCCAGAATGTGGTTACCATTTTCAAAAAATAGACAATATTAATGTTCTAGACATGTTTCATGGGACATTGCAAGAACATTTATGTGTCCAGTTTTCTGATGGTTAGAATATTCCATCAATGTCACACCAAACATACACAGAACATGTTTGCCATGTTCTCAGAATATACTGTAAGATATTAATGTTCTAGACACGTTTCATGGGACGTTGCAAGGATATTACTGTGTCCAAGAATGTTTAAAACATGGGACATTCTGTCATTGTCCCCTGTCTAGTTCCCGGCTTGTTCCAGGGATATCCCTCAACTCTATGAGTCCCGAGACCCCAGCAAAAATCAGCTTTTAATTTATCTGACATGAATTTATCTCCAGCCCTTATATTTAGCCTCACAATTAAGCGTTTTACCATTTTATTTTCAGGACAACCAGGACTAGAAGTAGAACACAAAACAATTTGACAAACAGTTGCATTCATGAGTTTTATTGACAAATGTCAATAAATAAAAAAAGGTCAGCCAAATCAAAGATCAATGAATTTATATGAATGCTGTTAGTACAGAAATGGTTTGCTCAGTGGGAAATGAATATCCAACTAGTCAGTGACAACTGTGTGGAGTTTGGAGTTTGTGACAGCAACTATGTGAGCTTATTACAGTATTATAGACACTATGTCCTTGGATTTCCTATGATCTTCTATGTAGAACAGGGATGGGCAACTGGCGGCCCCCCTTTTGAAGGCCCTCGGATGAATTCCCCCAAAAATGATTTTATAGTAGACTACACAAGGTGCAATTTCGAAATTTGGTTGTGCATCAGTTTTACTCTTGTTATGTCATTCACTGATAGTCAGTCAATTAGCCCATGTCTTTTAGATTGCTAAGTTAGTTTAGCGGCCAGCTATCTAAACTTGTTATCATGGGGCCCCCCATTGATTTTGTCAGTCAGTCTCAGTCAGATATCATATTAAAAACCGCAAACATTTCTCTCCACCCTATGGCAAAATATGTAAAATTACAGGAAACTAGCTGTAAAACGTATGGAGGGGCATATGGATGTGGGTAAACAGACCCGGGAGCAGCTGCGGCCCCTCATGATGAGTTCAGATTTTTTGTGGCCCCACCTCCATCAAAGTTGCTTACCTTCTAATGACTTTTGGGTATCTTGTGAGCGTCATAGAGGAAAACATGTTACATGTGCGTGAGAGTCTCAGCATTTCATAGATACTGTAGCTTAATAGTTTGCAGATCAAACCATTCGAACTCTACAGACATTTTTGTAGAAAGACCCGGCACTTGTCTCACAAACACCGCTCTAGCTCAGCCCCCGTTAATTACACAGACTAATGGCTGGTCTATTAGGATGGAGAAGAAATAGACAAATCCAATAATACAACCCAGAAGTCTGTAGCTCAAACACAAGATGTTTAAAAAGGGTTAGAATTCAAAATCACGACGGTGTCACGATGGGACTCATTGAGTTAAGACGTTTTTAGGACGTCACTGTCTGTCACCATGTTTTCTCCAATTTGTCTCTCGACCTGTGCACCCACGTTATAAACTTTCATTTGTAGGCTAGGTTGTGGCAACCTCATGATGGGTATAGGGCAAATTGTAGTATTATGTAGTAGTAGCCTGCCTAAACCTATCGATATTACATTGAGCTGGGTGAATGGAATATGAATGACAATCATCCAATATGCTGTAATAGAAATAAGGCCATGCTCATAATTTAATTTTTGCCCTCCCCAATCTTAAACGGCACCGACCACCACTGACATATCTGCACATCTGGCAAAAAAATATAGAAAAGTACCAGAGAATCCCTTTAATATCTTAAATTCCGAGAACATGGCAACCATGTTCTGTGTGTGTGTTTGGTGTGACATTGATGAAATATTTTTCTTAACCTCAGAAAACTGGACACATGAATGTTCTTGCAACGTTCCCATAAAATGTGTCTAAAACATTCATATTTAATATTCTGAAAACATGGTAAACACGTTCTGGTTAAGTTCTGTTTGACATTAAGGGACTGATCTCTTGGAAACAGTCCTTGCACATCACAGGAACATTCCTATGAAAACGTTAAGTAATGACCTAATTAGACTCTATGGGAACGTTCTCTAAAGTTTTGGGAGCATTGGTTGTTAGCTGGGATTGGCCTCTAAACATACTGTAGTGTCCTCACAACACCAGCAATCTTATGAACAGGTTCAGACCTTAATAGCTTAGGTGTTGGACTGATCTACGTTATAGGGTTATCACCATGTGATAAGTACCATGGGATCTCTAATAGTCTCTCTGAGAGCCAGGACGTATCTGTACTCATGGTTACACACAAACACACACACACACACGCACTCTGTCTCTCTTACACGCACACACATTGGAGCTGGCAGAAATCAGATGACAGTGTGTAAGTTGAGGTGTGTCAGTGTTAAAGGACCAATGCAGCCATTTTCATATTGATATCAAATCATTTCTGGGTAACAATTGAGTAGCCTACCTTACTGTAATAGATTTCCATTAAAATAGGCGAAAATAGCTTTTAACAAAAAAACTATTTCTCAAGCAAGAATTTTGCTAGGACTTTTTTGCCTGGACTGTCTGGGAGTGAGGAGGGGAAGATTGAAAATGAGGGTTTGGAACTCTTTTTGTTATTGGTCTATTAACCAATTTACCGTTTGTGATGTCACCATGGAAAGCCAAAACTCCCGTCCATGCAAACCTGCTGATTTTTAGGTCCCGTGTAGATTGTATTTTCAACCAGCAACTATCAGGAAATAACACGTATCCAATGTTTTAAAAACTTTTACAGCGTTAGTTTCATCAACTGTTGTACAATATGATATAAAACACAGGACAACTGAATTTGACTGCACTGCCCCTTTAATGATATCAGAGTCTATCACACCAT